GACCTATACCCAAATACTACCCCACCCGGTACTCTCACTTCCTCACAAGACCTCCTACTTTCTAGCTCCCTGGTTTTCCTCCTCCCACGCCTGACTGCAGGACATCTCTCCAGGACTTCCCTCCCCATCCTCTGGAACTCATTACCCCAATCCATCAGACTGTCACCTACCCTCCTCAACCTTTAGGTCTCACCCTAAAACCCATCTCTTCAGGGAAGCCTACCCCACCCCTCACCATTAACAGCCGATCTCCTTCACTCCTCCTATCCACTACCAATCCACACAAGCCACAACTTCCTCCTGTACCTACTACCCCTCCCTCCTAGATGTAAGCACGAAAGAGCAGGGCCCTCGAACCCCTCGTGTATTGTTTTGTTTCTGTATTGTCACATGTTCTGATCCCCCAGTATAAGTACAGCGCTGAGCAAACTTCTGACGCTATATAAATACTGAATAATAATAATAAGAGGGAGAGACATGGCAGTTTAAAAATCATGTAAATAAAAATCAGAGTAATAATGTTTCACTATCACTATCCAGAAATATTGTACAGATTTGTGGACAGTGTGTAAGCAGCTTTTATTAGGAACCAAAAGAAAAAGGAGGAGACTGTTAGGAATGGACTGGCCAAGCAATGGTGGGACTATCCACCTGCCTTTTGATCTGCAGTACCAGGGCTGGCCAGCGGGTGCTCCCAGCAATCAGAGACTCAACCTTTCAGCCAGCTAACACCTGGAACTGATGATGCTGGGGTATTTAAGGGATGGCCAGACCCACAGACTCTGCTTGGTGTTGTGTTTGTCCTGGGCCCTGTATCTGTCCTGCATCCTGTTCTGTCCCTCTGCCTGACCCTCTGTACTACGCTGCTTGTTACCTGTTTTGATCTTCTGGCTTGTGACCCTGACCATCCCTCTGCCTGACCCTCTGTACTACGCTGCTTGCTACCTGCTGAACCTGGCCTGTGACCCCGACCATTCTCTGCTTGCTCCCCCTGTACCTACCTGCCCAATTGATATTGACCCGGCCTGCCTGACGACGCTTGCTTGTATGTAACTGTTATCTGTGGGTGGTTTGGTTTGGTTTGTTGCACTGTATTATGTTTAGTATTGCACTGCGTTTATGTTTGTATGGTTAGTGTTAATAAATTGTATTGTTTATCACCTATCTGAAGTCTGCGTTTCCCTGCATCAGTCACACACCTCTGGTCATACCTGGGAGCCCTGACATTACACCAAGGCCAATCCTGACCAGAAGTGGCTGCACAGGGAAGCCATCTTGGCTTGTTGATGGGAAAGATGGATCTTGATGAGGTTGAATATTTATATCTGCTAGTGTTTGATGACAGGGAGTATGCTTATCAAACTCTGAAGGAGTATACCCTGGATGAACTGCTAGAATGTATACGGCTCGCTCATGTTCTAGTAGATCAGGGCACAGAGTTCTCTGAGGTGCAGCCTTTTGATTGAGGTTTGTGCTGAGTTGGTTTCATCTGGTTCCCCCGAATGCAGGGATGAATTTTTGCCACCATTTAGTGCAGACCAGGTAGAGTCCCTGGTGTGGTTATTAGAGGATGATGTGGGTTACTTTCTGGAGCATTATTCCACATGTTCACCACAGACACTAAGAGATTGTATAAACGCAGTACAGTCATTGACCAGACAGGCTTTGTGTAAGCTCAGCTTTGTTCAACCCATACTGCAGACATGGACAGATTTGTTGCACCCAGCCTCAGTCAGCTTACAAAGACCCAGTCCTGCTTCTAATCTATTTCCTCAAAACTCTATTCCTGCATTCCCAACAGCTCCTCCTGCCCTGCTATCTACCGCATGTCAGTAATACCCTGTTCCCACTCGCTGCACCTATCCTGCCCTTTAACCCTGTAAAAGAGCCCTCTGTAGCAACCGCTCCCTCTCCTGTTCCATCCTCCAGTTCTTCTCTGTCTCCAGCTGCTCCATTCGTTTGCAGACCTGCGTTTACTTGCAGTGCTCCAGTAGTTTAAAACCAGAAAAAAGCGAAAATTCTTTCCAACCAATACCATCCTGCCAGTATCCAAACCGGTGAGCCTGCCTTCCGTGGTTCAGCCTGAAGCCTCTACTCAGCCTGATGCCTCTACTCAGCCTGATGCCTCTACTCAGCCTGATGCCTCTACTCAGCCTGAAGCCTCTACTCAGCCTGATGCCTCTACTCAGCCTGATGCCTCTACTCAGCCTGATGCCGGTACGCAGCCTGATGCCGGTACGCAGCCTGATGCCTCTCTTCAGCCTGATGCCTGTATGCAGCCTGATGCCTCTCTTCAGCCTGATGCCTCTACTCGCCTGAAGCCTCTACTCGGCCTGAAGCCTCTACTCGGCCTGATGCCTCTACTCGGCCTGATGCCTCTACTCGGCCTGAAGCCTCTACTCGGCCTGAAGCCTCTACTCGGCCTGAAGCCTCTACTCGGCCGGACGCCGGCATTCAGCCTGATGCCTCTACCCAGCATGATGAACTGATCCAGCCTGACGATCCTATTAGGCCAGTTGACTCGATGCCCGCTGTTGATCCAGATGAATCCGGTACCTGATCCGGTGCCCGCTGTCGAGCCAAATGATTCTGATGCCTGGTGACCCAGTGCCCGCTGTCATACCTGGTGACCCGATGCCCGCTGTCGAGCCAGACAATCCGGTACCTGATTGACCCGGTGCTCACTGTCGTGCCTGTTGACTCGGAGCCCACTGCCTTGCCAGATGACGCGGTGCCCGCTGTTGAGCCAAATGACCTGATGCCTGGTGACCCAGTGCCCGCTGTCCAGCCAGACGATCCAATGTCTGACCCAGTGCCCGCGGTCATACCAGTTGACTCGGAGCCCCACTGCTTGCCAGATGACGCGGTGCCCGCTGTCGAGCCAAATGACCTGATGCCTGGTGACCCGATGCCCGCTGTCCAGCCAGACGATCCAATGTCTGACCCAGTGCCAGCGGTCATCCCAGTTGACTCGGAGCCCACGGTTGTGCCTGGTGACTCGGTGCCAGTCTTTGATATCCCGCCAGTTACCAGACCCGGGCGGTGGAACATTTTGCCCAGCTAGGACTGTTTGGAGCGTCCTGAGGCCGCTCCTTGGGGGGGGGGGGTACTGTTAGGAATGGACTGGCCAGCAATGGTGGGACTCACCTGCCTTTTGATCTGCAGTACCAGGGCTGGCCAGCGGGTGCTCCCAGCAATCAGAGACTCAACCTTTCAGCCAGCTAACACCTGGAACTGATGATGCTGGGGTATTTAAGGGATGGCCAGACCCACAGACTCTGCCTTGGTGTTGTGTTTGTCCTGGGCCCTGTATCTGTCCTGCATCCTGTTTCTGTCCCTCTGCCTGACCCTCTGTACTACGCTGCTTGTTACCTGTTTTGATCTCTGGCTTGTGACCCTGACCATCCCTCTGCCTGACCCTCTGTACTACGCTGCTTGCTACCTGCTGAACCTGGCCTGTGACCCCGACCATTCTCTGCTTGCTCCCCCCTGTACCTACCTGCCCAATTGATATTGACCCGGCCTGCCTGACGACGCTTGCTTGTATGTACTGTTATCTGTGGGTGGTTTGGTTTGGTTTGTTTGCACTGTATTATGTTTAGTATTGCACTGCGTTTTATGTTTGTATGGTTAGTGTTAATAAATTGTATTGTTTATCACCTATCTGAAGTCTGCGTTTCCCTGCATCAGTCACACACCTCTGGTCATACCTGGGAGCCCTGACAGAGACTATGTAGATGTTATCTTGAAATAAAATTTAGACTATTATTTCAGAGAGACAATAGATATAAATATTTTTGAGCACTGAAGCACAGGAAAAGGCCACAAATTTGAAGAAAAAGAGTATAATTTACCATGCAGTTAACATTACATTTGCTGCTGAGGCCAAGCTGCATAATGTTAGGTGTAGTACATTTACAATGCCAGAGCACCCGATTAGGACAAGAGAATCTTATAATGGTGGCAGTCCAGGACAGGTGGCAGGTGCTGGTAGTTTGAAATCAGATGGCTTAGGTGCTTCCTGTGACTGCTGCCTACAGCCTGGCCTGTCTGCTGTCATTAGAAAAATTGAGGCAGCCACCATCATTCATCCTTTTAAAGATATGAGGATTTAAGGGTTCAGATTTCACATTGAGCATGAAAGGGTATCCCGACACTATCTCTGGAAATACATCTTCTAGGTATCATCCCTCTAGGATGGCAGTGTGAGATCTACCCTTTTCCTTCTGTATTAGGGATCAAAATAGGATGCCCCCCCACTCCACCATCATAGCTCAAATCCTGGGATCCTTGCACAGGCATTTTATCATAAACTAACTACTTCACCACAAATTCCTTCAGCAGAGGGTCCCCGAGCCCTCAGTCTCACTGTGGACAACAGTGCCCTCAAAGATCTCACCCCAACCCTGGATTTGAAGGAATGAAGCATCCCCTTGGAAGCCTGCTCCATTTGCTCCATATCACAAACAGCACCCCAACTAGTTGCCTTCTCCTTATACTCCTCTTCTGTCTCCTGTTGCTTCTGCCTCAAAAAGATGTAGGCAGTGGGCCAAGGATCTTGCAAGGTAAATGTATGATCTTGCCCTGTTAAAGGATGGCTAGCAGCTTGTCAAACACAACTATGCTTGGCACAAGATGGTGTGGGGCAGCCACCTTTTGACTTCTCAATCAAGAGCTGTCAGAATCTCAGGCCCAGTTTGTTTCCTGTGTCTCAGGAGTTAAAAAGCAAAACAGTTAAAGATAAGTATGTGGGTTTTAATTGCCTCTTTATTGCATTTTTTTACAACTCAGGCATTGGTCCATTTTAACTCCGTGACAGCTGTTCTGTTTCTTGTTTTGTAATATGAATGTAAAAACAGATTACAAAGAACCAGCTGCTAAAACAGGTATCCTTCATGTATACCCCTTACCAGGCCAGGGGTTGGGGTTGGGGCGGACCTGGGCAAGGTTGGGTGGGGCAACTGGTGGAGAGTAAGTTTTGTGACTGGCTAGTAGGTCTGGACTCTAAATTTTAACCCCTGTGCTAGAAGATATTCGGCATAGTGTTGGGCTTGATGTTAGAGTGCCCCACAATGCCCTTCGTTCTCACAGCGCATTGTGAGAGCCATGATTGGCCAAAGCAATGCCCCTGACCACAGGCCAGGTGCAATGCTTTGGCCAATCACAGCACAATGCACTGCAGAGCCATGATTGGCCAAAGTCCCCATGACTTTGGCCAATCATGGCTCACGGCTAAGTCCACGCCCCACACTATATAAGTTTGCTTGCACTGCAGCCTTATGCAATGTGTTGCTGGACACTGCCAAAAACTGAGAGGAGAATACTCAACCCCAAAAAAAAAAAACCTAAAAATAAAAATGTTTTTTAAATATTATAAAAAAAAAATACATAAAAAGAAAATACAGACACTTTAGGTGTGGTAGGAAGGTTAGGAGGGAACCCACATTAAAAAAAAAAGTGTAAAAAGCGCATGGGGTTCCCCCTAAAAGTCATACCTGGCCCTTTAGGGTAATTGAACAAAAAAAACACAACAGTTTTTGACAGGTCCTCTATAAAAAAAAAAGCAAAAAAAATGGTTCCATTGATGTAATCCATCATCAATCACAGTGTCCAGCCTTGTCCTGATGATGCCAACTCAAAATGAAAAAAAAAAAAAGACGCACGCCACCCCATTTGCCCCTGCTGAGCATTCACCGCAATATGACAGGTCTTACAACTGAGTACAGGAACACAGGATAAAAAAAATAAGGACCTGAAATAAAGTGCAGACATTCATACTTATAAGAGAGGCAAGTTCAGTAGGGGCAAAATTCATTAGGTATTGTGATGTGGGGGATGATACCTCAAGGGTCCATGTCAGTCCAAACTGTGTTGGGCATGGCACAACAGCCCACATTTATTGAAACAAAACAAAGTCTTAATAACACATGGTTTCCCATGCAAGGGTTTCAGATTCACTCCAAACCAGTGTCAACAGAAAATGCTGAGCCACCTGGCTCTTCTGTTAGAAACACCACTGATATCTCTGGTCTCCCAGACCATGGGCTCCTCAAGCTCACTCAGCCTATGCTTGCAGCCACTCAGACTTCCTTCAACACCCTCTTTGGACTTGTTGTCACCTCAGCATTCTTGGTCTCTCTGGACCCATGTAGCTGTCTTGACTTTCCTAGTCCTTTTGGGCAAGAAGTCTCCCTAACATAGGTTCTTGTCTACTGAGCAGATCATCCCTCCTGCCTGGAACACACTTCTATCTTCTCAAATACTCTCTCCAACTGGCAGAAACTGCCTTGAGCTGCTCCCAGATCTTGCTTATAATGACCCAGCACACCTGTGCACTCACACAGGTTGCAGATGTCTAGCAAAATCTGGACACCCAAGCAAGTTCTGTCCCACCCAAGACACTTTGGAAGTTCCAAACTCCAGGCTCTGATTTGGGATTACAAAACCTGGAGAAAGCTTAAAGCCCAGGTTTCTCAACTCGTAAATAACACTTTGGAGCTTTGAATTAAGCCTTAATGTGAGCCAGGTGCCATTTCTACATAAATTCACATAGCAGCAGGGCCTCCCACTGTCACAGTAGGTAATATAACTATAGAATATACCCAAGACGCTTGGAGGATGCTTGGAGGAAAGTGGACCACGCTGAGAAGAAGATACTATAGAAGGAAGGCATACCACGCTGAGAGGTGAACACTAGGAGGAAACATGTTGAGGCAGGAAGGTTACTTGGCGCAGCAGAGGCTAAGCTAATCTCTGCTTCAAGAGGAGAGTGAAGCTGCTGGACAGAGAGTGGAGAAGCCGGTAAGCTGAGAGGGAGGGCGCTTGGGTTGGGAGTCTGGACACGCCAGCAGGAGGGCGTGGGACACTGACACTGGGTGCGGGACACGGATACTAGTAAAAAGGCAGGTGGGGGGTGCAGGCCACACTGAGCGGAGGATCGGCTTCAGGGTGAGGGACACACTGACTTACAAGAGGATCCCTGGCATACTGGCAAGAGCTGGAGACATGCTGTGAATGAAGGAGTGGGATACATTGATAGGACCGACTGCAGGGGAAAAGGGGTACTGTGAGGAATAACTTTGAGCAACTAGAGCAACTGGAGTACTAGGGGTAGTTTGGAGTACCTGGGAGTATCTGGAGTACCTGGAAGTATTTGGGGTAACTTGGAGTACTTTGGAGTATTTTGGAGTAATTGGGAGTATTTTTGGGTAACGGAGTAATTGGGAATAATCAGAAGTACTGAGGGTAACTTGGAGGACTAGTAGTAACTTGGCATACTGGGAAGTGACTTGGCAGTAACTCAGACTACTGGGAGTATTTTTGATTAACTCAGAGTACTTGGAGTGATTTGGAGTTACTTGTGAGTATTTTGGAGTACTGAGAGTATCTTGGAGTAATGAGAATAATTTGAAATACTGGGAGTAACTTGGAGTAACTTGAGTACTGGGAGTAACTTGGGGTACGTTGAGGGAGTAGGCATACTGGGAGTAAATGGGAGTGATTTGGAATACTGGTAGAAGTTTGGAGTAGCTTTAAGTACTGGAAGTAAGTTGGAGCAAATTGGCGTACTGAATTTGTTTAAATAAAAAACATATACTGCTCAACACTGCTTAATAAGGAAGTTTAATAGCAAACTATATAAAGGATTAACCACTTCAAGTCCACTTCAAGTCTGGACACTTTTACCCCCTTCCTGTCCAAGCCAATTTTCAGCGCTGTCACACTTTGAATGACAATTGCGCGGTTATGCAACACTCTACCCATATGAATGTTTTAGCATTTTTTGAGACAGATAAAACTTTATTTTAGTGGTATTTATTCACCACTGGGATTTTTATTTTTTTTGCTATATAAATGAAAAAATCCCAAAATTTTGAAAAAAAAAGTGTTTTTCTTATAAAAGTTTGCAAATAAATAATCTTTCTTCATAAATCTTGCCCGAAATGTATTCAATTATCTTTTTAGCAAAAAAAATAACTCAAATTAGTTTATAACCAAAAATTAT